GGGGGGGGGGGGTGCCCCTCTCTCTGTGTGTGTGTGTTTGTCTCTCTATTGTCTCTCTAGTTAGGATGGGATATGCCCACCGGCTGACCAATGAAAAGACGCCAGTCACATATACGGGTGTGCATTTGGGCCGTTGACATGGACGGCGCTGACCGGCTGACCAATTAAAAGAGGCGTCAATCTCTAGCGGTACAACAAACTCTGTCGCGTTTGCTATTTATCAGTGTATTTTTCTTTGATTGCCATGGACTGCTCTATCTCTATCCAACTGCCACAAAACGAAGACACAAGTACGTATGTGTGTTTTGTTTTCAGTAAATTTTGCATGTACCGATTAATCTCTCTACGCATTGCGATGTTTCTCGCATACACACGTGTCGAAATAGTTCGAGCCATTTGTTGGCGAATTTGCCGAAGAACGGAGGCGCTGGCATGCGGGCCGGGGCTAATCCGGACGATCATGTGGTATCGGCGATTTGCTTCTGGGTGTGGGGTATCCTTTCGTGTGCAACGCCTTTATACTGCGTAGATGCAATTGCAAATCGTGACAGATAGCTCCTATTGTAGACCACCACCGCGAGCAGCAGGGTGCGAATCTAGTCCCAGCGGCTGTTTTCGCTTCCTCCCTCAGCAACGAAAGCCTGCGCGCAGATAATTTTGCGACGTTGCTGCCGATGCGCTTTGCTAGAGCCGTGGCCTTTCCAAGCACCCAACGAGCCAGTCAAATCCCTCTGTTGGTTTGCCTGTGTTATTGGTGGTGTCGTCGTTCATGCTGGTGGCACCGTGTTTGTAGTGCTTACATGTGATCCCTCCGGATGGGTGGGCTGACGAGAGCACAGCGGTGTCATCAAGGGGTGATGAAAGGTTAAGACTGCAGCAAGCAGCAAGGACCAACTCAGAGCACCTGCCCTGTGACGTTTCCCAAGCTCAACAGCTCACGCAGCAAACGCGTTTTGTTTTACTCGAAGAAGCCCAGCGAACCTCACCGAACCAAAAAGAAAACTTGACAAAACTGGTACACAGCAGCCTTATGTGTTGATGCAACCTCAAGCATGCTTTCCTTGGTCGTGCGCTTTCGGCTTCACGGCAGGGACTGGACGTGCAGAGCCAGCTAGAAGACAAGGCATGTCCATTGGTTGAGCGTGTTGGGACCTTCGCGGGGGCCCTACGGATGAAGAAATCATGGCACGGTAGGGAGATGAAAGCGGGTGCTTTGTTGGAAAGTTCAACTTGGGTAGTCTCACACTCTTTTGAAGAGTGCCGGGTGTCCAACACGGGGCCGGCCAATCCCGTTGGCGGCCGGCCTTCTGCTGGAACGACTCGTGCTGTACTCACCGTTCGCTGTTCTCTTCTTGCTGGCAGCGTATAGCCGTGCACGCTCTGGTAGCTCCTGGCGTGGCGTCGTGTGCTGTGCTGCGCTGCATGCTGTGTGCGCGCATGTCCTAGGGTCGCGAAGAAGCAGTCGCTGGGGTTCCACGCGGTATTTGCGCTGTGTGGTTTGCTGCAGGCGGCCTTGTGTTGAACGGTGAAACTGTACGGTAGCAGAGTCAGCAGGGGCCTCGTTGCATCCGCGGAGAATTAGCACGTTTCATGCTAGCCAAATTTCGACGAGACTGCTTCGATCCATTCAGTATTCCGTCCCGTGAAGCTTTCGTATAAGGCACCAGATTTGAGAGGTGTTCGAACCACCATGGTTGCTGCGAGAATGGAGTCGTTTCTTTGTCCCGGACATGGTGGGGTGGGTTTCCGCGCAGAGGAAGTATCTGTCCTCAGGTTATAGCAGTGTTCCCCTTGGGGTCCACAAGGTGGTATTGTTCACATTCCAACGGAGCGGATGATCCCCCCCGGCGGGTCGCACCTGGTGCAATGCGCGCCTATTGGGAGAAAACCCGACTGTCTCCGTTTATGTAGACATTTTGAAGCGGTGCAGTGTCTATGGTCCAACGAGTACGATACAGATGATAATGGGTGTCGGCCACCTCCCCCCCGCTCTCCACGCCATACCAAACCTCACTCAAACGTTGTTCCCGCTGTTTGTTCGGGGAATGATTGTGTTGTATTCTCAACCACTGAGACACACAAGTGAGAGTCTCCTCAGGACTACTCCCGACCCCCCTCAACCGCTGAGGCATCCAAAACGTGATTCCGTACCCCTCCCCCACGCTTCAACATACTCTATTCGTCCGTACAAACGTATGTGTGGCGAGACAGAATGCCCGGTGTATCTCACCCGGCACGGGGAATCCCTCGGGAACCAGACCAAGTCCATGGGGGGCGACGGAAACCTTTCCGAGACGGGCGACCGGTATGCCGGCGTTTTGGCGGACTTTGTGGCGGCGCAACTGGGCGCGGGGCAGAGCCGCCTGTTGGTGTGGTGCTCGCCGATGAAACGAGCGGCACAGACGGCCAGAGCGGCAAGTGTGCGTGCGTTTTTTGTCTTGTCACTGCACCGCAACAACAACAGCAGCAGCGGCAGCAGCAGGAGCAGCAGGAGCAACAGCAACCACAACAACGATGACGATATTCTCCGTTTGCTCCAAGTTGTCGAGGCACACGGCTGGATCATCGTCAAGCGCTGACGTGACTGTGGACATCACGTCCCTTCCTTTCCTCTCGTGTGAATTTCTCTCAACGCCTTTGACGTCCGTCTTCGTCTTGACGTTCAGGTGAAATGCCACCGGTATACCCAGTGGCAAGCACTGACAGAACTGGACACAGGCATCTTCAACGGCTGCTCCTACAAGCAGGTATGTAGATCTTGCTGTTTTTTTTTCTGTAGAGGTCCTCAGATAATCCTAGTTGAAAAGATACACGGCACATGCTGTACATGTATTTATGTAGCGTACCGATCGCATGTGTGCACTGGGCGTCAAACATCACCGCTGTTAGACGGTATGTCACGCTCTTTTGTTGCTCCACAAAAGGCAAACTCAATCCATGGCGTGGAAAGCTCTCGGTCAAGGGATACCATATTTGACACAAGATAACACACCCCCTTGACCAATTTTCGAAGCTCGATTTCTCAACTACAGGAACAGTCACAGCGCCGTAAACGGCGGCGTTGGAACCGTCTCGTCGAGAGCTTTCCAAAAATGTATCGTTTCGTTCATGCATCCTCTTCGTCGTGGAGTAATCGAGCTTTGAAAATTGGTCCAGGGGGTGTGTTATTTTGTGTCATATACGGTATATTACCACATTGGCGCACACGCGCTTGGGAAGTGGGTCATGGGAGTGCCGTTTCAGGCGGGTGGTATTTAGCCGTCATATGCAGTTCGTCCGTAGGTTCCATGCTCATTGTTGTTTGTGCTGCTTTGTTCCCGCAGGTCGAGAGGGATTACCCCGAAGAGTTCACCGCAAGAGAGGTCGACAAGCTGTGCTACCGCTACCCGGAAGGGGAGGGGTGAGTCATCACGGGTATGACCGGTCGTCGCGGTTACTTTCGGTTCTTTTCGAGCGATGGTCCGGTACAATTCGTGCGAAAATGCTTGTTGCACTTTCTTTTTGTCACTGTTGAATGTTGTTGCGGTAGGCTGCGGTAGTCGCCGTTTCGCCGTTTAGACGCCCAACTCTCGGGCAGATGCCGCCCGGTATTCTTCCACCCTCGAATGCATGGGGAACTGTTACGATTCGTGTCGGCCGGTGTCCACGGGCTTTGTCGTTGTGTGTGTTTGTGGCCGCAGGTACCTCGACGTCGTGCACAGGCTAGACCCGGTGGTCGTCGCCCTGGAGAAGGAAGACCGTCCCGTGATCGTCGTTTCTCACCAGGTGAAGATATGGTCAAATTGTTCACAAGGGGTGTGATCGGTAGGGTACGGGTATGTTGGGTAGGGTGTGGAAGTCTGTAAAGATCGCACACCCTGTACAACTACTTTAGTTGTCAGTTGTCTGGCAGACAACTATTTCTTGAACAAGCTGCGCCACTAGCTGCCTGCAGACAACTACTGTTTGGAAAAGCTGCGCAACTAGTTGTCGACAACTATTGGGTAGTTGCTGCCCTGCACAACTAAAGTTGTAGTTGCCAGTTGCAGTTGTACAGGGTGTGAAAGATCGTACCGAGACCTCTGCAGGGAATATACCGGCGGTATCTTGTTTGCCTCGGTACGTACCCTACCGAACAAACCCTTGGGGAAAAATATCTATACAAGTACATGCACAAATAAGCAAGTGTTGAGACGGTTGTCACAAGATTCGCGCCAGGACCGTTGAGTGATGCATGGTGTGGAGAACACACCCAAGTTCCACCTCGTGTGACAAGGGGAGAATGGTGTGCGATGAGGGGGGCAGCTCGCCTGCTGTGCTTGTGCGAATTAATGTTACCTCATCATTTCTCGTAGATTGTGACGTATCGTCAGATGACCTACCGGAGGTTTACGTTCGGGGTATTTCCGCACAGATGGAGTCGGAGGACACACTGAACCCGACTACAGCGGGCCAGCTGCCCCACGTCTTGCTCACAACGCGTTCCGTATGTCTCTTCAAACTCCCCTCTTGCGAGGGATTGAACCTGCCGTGTCCGTGCACCACACACGGACAAAGAACTTGAACCACATAGTGCGTGCCTCGAGACTAGGATATGCAGTCTCCAAGCTCGCACTGCTGTAGTTCAATTCCTTTGGGGGCGTGTGGTGCAGACACACCAGGTTCTAACCCCTCGCGGGAGAGCAGGTTGAAGAATGTATTAAACGGGTTGTGAGCGCGTAGGGCAAGCTGTCCCGCTGTACTATCTACCGGAATCCAATTTGTCCACCGGAAGCACCCCGAAGGTACGTAGATCTCCGGCAGGTCATCTGACGTCACAATCTACGAGGCAGTCTACTATGGTGGCATTCACACATACAACAGTAGATGTTGAGGCGTTCTCTGCCATCGCTTTCTCTCACTTGTGTATGTGAGAAAGTAAGAACTGCTTGTCTTGCGGTGTGTTGTTGGGCATCTTGACGGTTCTCAGAACATGCAACACGAGCGAACAATTGTGACACGGAAAAGAAGAAAAAAACGTGGCGCTCTTCTAGAAACTATTGTTTTTCAACGATTCGATCATAACAAGGACCAGAGGCACGGTATCTCAGGTGGGGCTCTACACCCCGGCGATAGCGCTTGAGCGTTTTAAAATAGTGAAGGTATCAAACGATGTTGTGTTCTATGTGAGGTACCTTGTGGCACGTTCGGTACGCGTTCCTTTAGAAACAACAGTCGTCTCTCTCACGACGTTCAAATTAGTGTTGTAACTGGTACCAGTAAATGATGGTAGCTTTCCCGTTGTAGATGGTACTCGTAAGCAATCATTCAAGAGTGAGAAGAGGAACATTTGCTTAGCGCCCTTTCAAGTAGAAATGCCCAATCCCCATCAACTGGAAAGCTCCAAATGTCGTTCAGACCCCATGTTTCAATATTCCCACGGTCGAAAGACAGTGATTTGTGGAATTGAAAAGCTGTGGGCAAATGGTGGATATCTGAAAAGCTGCACACGAATAGCAAAAACCTCGATGGGTTACTTCCTCGACCAAAAGACAGGAACTGCTCCGGGCCACGCTACCTGCTGGATCGGAAGGGAAGTATTTCTGTGGTTTATGTTTAGTCACTCCGTACCGCAAAGGCATGATACGTAAGAGTAGGCTGGAGGAAGGATGGTCATCACAATGACCCTACGAGTACGCTATTCGGCTCGTTGACCCGTCCCGAGAAATGGAAAATCCACCCTGCTAACCTCCTACACTCCCGAAACGGTCCCGCCTGGGCTTTTTCGTCATCCCCTGTGGCTTACCTTGTGCTGCACGACGACGACACCACCATCACCAACACCACCAACGGCGACGACACCACCATCATCAACAACAACAACAACAACAACAACGGCGACGGCAATACTAGGCGGTTCTCCGTTGCCTGTATGCCTACTTCCACGACATCTCCCTCCGAGAGATGCCCCGGATTCCCATCTCCCTCCACACCGTCGTCAAGCTCACCCCGGTCGACTATCACCCGGAGGCATCGGCGCCGGCCGCGGCGGCGGGGGCGGCGGGAGGGGGGGCGCGGTTCTGGAAGGAGCTTCGCTTTGAGCTGATAAAGCAGACGCCCTTGCAACACCTCGTGGAAGCGGCGGCAGTCAGCGGCGGCATAAACAGCCGAACGTCGTCGCAGCTTGGGGAGAGGTTGTCCTGAGCAGGAACATGTCGAAGCGTTAAAGTGAAATTTCCAGGAATTTTCGAGATCTGTTGTTTGGCGACGAAAACAACCAAGAGTTTCGCCGATACAAAACAGGGGAGTTTTTGTTTCATGTGTCGTTTCCCGGTGTGCCTCTCTCACTATCTATTCGAAATGATGGGAAGTGTGAAAAGAGGGAATCGTCCTCGACAGACGTCGGGGAGATTATACCTTTACGAAGGTCTCCACAGAAGAGTATCTCTGAAAGTGCTTGCTTGTTGTGATTTTCATCATGAATTTTACGTCCGGAAATCGGTTTGGGTCTAGTCTGGCTTTGGTCTTCGGTGTTTTTGGATGGAGGGCGGGAGTTGGTGACAAGACCGAGTGCTTGCAACGGGCTCATGTGAGTGATAACTTCTCGAGGGGTAGAGCACCCGGCCGTCGAAGGTGCCCATTCTTGCTGATTGCCGTGATGGCGGGACAGAGAGCGACTCGGTTCGACCGCCATTCGAAGTTGGGGGCGATTGTTTCTCTCAAGAACAGGGTCTCGTGGTTGCTACAACAACCTGGCGCGTGCACATGAGAAACGCGTTCGATGGCGGACACACAGGGCTTATTGGCGTGAGGCTTTTCGCGTGCGACATGTTTGGGGGGTGAAAATGTTGAGAGTTGTGTGGTATCGGCCTCCGAATATTCGGTGCAAAGAAATCGATCCAAAACATCATGCTGAGTGTTTCTTGTTTGTGCGGGATGTTTACGGGGGGTTGGACGCTGCTGTGCGGGAAAGTGTGTTCTGACAGTGGTACGAACGAGCCGCAATATATCAATCCAAGACTGGGTGCTGTTGTCGGTGTTCACCTGGCTGTGCTGTGGCGCATGTATGCTTGAGGGGATCTCGTGGGAGCTGGACCGGTTGGTCATGCTGTTTCCTCTTGATGCTTCTGTTTTACCAGAGTTGTGTGTGTGTCCGTGGTCCCTTAATTTTGTCTTGAGGAGGCGTTATTTTAGGAGCGAACGTTGAACATTTTCGGATCTATCTCGACGGGAGTATAGTTGTAGTATCAATTTTTCTTGTTGAGTGAGCGCGGTCCGTTGGGCTTCTGTCGTTGTGCTTCTTTCTGTGTGCGTGGTGAATCAGAGAAGTATCCTGCTAGAGCCATCCCCAAGATGTTGGACGCTGGCAGCTACACGTATCTTTGAGCTGGCAACCCAACCCAGCAGGAGGGAGAAAAAAGCAGTATCAGGATGACGCTCGTCGCGTGGATTTGTGGTAACAGTCTTCGTTGTTTTGTTCATCTTCTGGGGTTCGTTGCCATAGATATCAGGTGCCTTGCTGCTGCTGCTGCTGTCATTGCAAGCAGTGTGTGTGTGGTTGAAAATGTGTTTTGTTGGTTGTTAGACTTTTTTTTTTCATGGTGTTCTTTGCCTGGTTCGGTGTTGGTTAGAAATGCACCGAGAGTGAAGTAAAGGCGGGCAATGATGGATCGGAGGGGGGAGAAGCGACTACTTGTTTTTGTTTTGTTATGACCCAACGAGTCCGTCTCTATCAATGAAAGAGTCGTAAGTAGATTAACAATGAATCCATAGCGTTAGCGAAAGTTTAGTTTTCCACTATATCTTTTATGTTTTTTGCATGCTTTTGTTCGACCTTTGACCAGGCGTGCGTGCGCGTCCTCGAGAGGACGGAGCGTTGTTCTCCCAGGACCGATCACCGATGGGCAATCGTTCCTTCCTACTTTGCAAAAGGCGGCTGAAAAAATATGTTCCCTAAATGATCGTATCTATTAAAATATCTGTCCCGTCGATATCACTTTCCGCCTTTTCCATGAGAGGGGAGAGAGAGAGGTTACACGTTTTTTTGCTTTGGCCCCGTCCCACCGGCGAGACGGAGCTATTTGTGCCAAAAAACTGAGAGACAACGGTAGTTTACCTGTCCGACTAGTGATGGTGCTGTTGTCGTCACACACATATGAATCTACGGCATGCCTGGCGGCACTGCTTGAGAACCTCCAATTTTGGGCGGTACTTCTGTGTGGAGGTATGGTATGTGACTATAACAAGCAAGCTGCTTGGTTGTTTTAGTCAAATACAGGGTGGGTCCTACGTAATTTTTTTGGACTCGAACATCGAACATCGAACAAGCGGTGTAATCATGTGATTGGCCAGGAAGGTCCAACAGCCCAAAGAGATGTTCGGGTTTTCGAGTTTTTGTACGCCGGATCTTCCAGGGGCGATTCCGCCTAAAACTCTAACATCTTTCCACAAAAACTCGAAAACCTTTACCTAACCTACAGTCCCGTGGACTATTGGGACCGAATTGGCGACAAAAAAGAAAACCCGCACGCATGCATCACGCACGTGCACCCAACACACACCACCAAAAAACACAATCTCGGGGAGAGGGAGAACGACAGAGAGGTTTGCAGGACAGCAACAGCAATACCCATGTCTGCACAGAGCGACGACGAGTTTGCGCTGGATCCCAGGGCCCCGCGTGCACAAACGGGGCCAGGTGTGAGGTTAATCACACGGGGGTTCCTTCCCGTCGCAACCATACAGCATTGCTGGACAGCCAAACAGCTGCAGCAGTGTTGGTGTGAGTCGGCAGGGTCCCGCGGCAATGCATGTGGGCATCAGGCCGCAAGGGATGCCGGGGTTCCACCCCGCGGCTTCGAGCGCTAGCTACTATCAACCGGTGCTGTTTTTGCTGGTGGGGCTGCTTCTTGTGCTCCTCCTCCTGGCGCCGTCCCTGTTCCTCGACACTCGTATCTTTTCGAGAGTCGAGTGCCCTTGGGTTTTCCGGGCGTGGTCCAACAACGCGGGCTGTTGAACGCAAAAACGTGTGTGTGTGGGATTTTTTTTCACGCTTTTTTGCAAATTTCAATGGACCCAAAAAGTCGAACTTCGAACTATCCGCTTGTTCGATGTTCGATGTTCGACTTTTCCAAAAATTACGTAGGACCCACCCACACACTGGTACCATAGGTGTGGAGTCTGGCCTTCTTCCCCTCGCTCCCCGACAAGCTTTTGCTTAGACATGGGTTGTAGCGAAGGGGGGGGTCTTTCTGGCGAGCAGGGCTAGACTCACCCTCAAGGGATGACCGAAACCTTCTTGCTGCTGCGCATCCGCCGCGAGGCGTGCGTGTGGTGGTGGAGTTGGGTCGGCACTGATGGGGTCAGGCGGGAAAATGTAGATGCGCGGGCCTTTCTGGCCGTCGGCGTAGGCAGTGATGCCCATCTCATTTTTGTGCGCGGAGGCAGACACCATCAGAAAGGTGGACGGGCACTACACGGCCCTAGGTTTGCTAGAGGGAGCTGCATTGCCTCAGTAACCTGGCTTCGCCATCAAAGGAGGAGGGAGCAGGTGGCGACGAGCTGAACTGGGCTGGTTGACCCCTTCGGCGCGAGAATTTTTATTTTTCAGACCAAGAACCTTGAGTGCAATGAGGGAGAAAGCGAGGAACGGACTGGGAAGGACAGCAACGAGAGCGTGTACGGACGGAGCAGGTCGAGTGGCGTTTTGCTCGGGCTGACTACAGCGGCGCCGGATGGAGCAATGGCACCGGAGCATGCGGGCGACATCGACCCGTGGCGCACGGACAAACATTTCTATCTGTGTTGTCAATTTTTTTCGTTTTTTTTCTGACTTTCCGTGTTGGTTTTGTGTGATGACATCGTCACCGGTTTTGTAGAGAGACCCGTCAGAGATGGCGTGGCTAACCCGGGTGCATTGGTTTTGTGCCTGATCGTGGAAGACCCCTTCAATGTGGAACGATTCTTAGCTAGTGTCGATATTTTTCACTGCAGTGCCAACACAGACGATCGGGAGAGATTCGGGTGATTGTCAATTGCTGCTATGATGGCTTTGGTTGGTTGTTCTTTTTCACTGTACGGCCGCAGACACATTCTGACAGCACTTCAGACAGCAGCTTTGTGCCCCGCCAGCTGCTTGTTCCATGCCTACCATGGTGTTTTTGTACAGACGGCACTTCAGACAGCAGTATGCTGTAGTCGGCAATCTTCCGTTTTGGTATAGAATGGGACAGGGGGGTGATGCTACTCTGTAGTCGAACGGTGGGACGGACGTGCAGTTCAGTTTTTGGGCACGCATACGGTGCTGCAGGGATTTTAAGGTGTACCTCTTCGGGCTCTTGGATACCTTTTTCTCGCTATATGTGTGCGTGTTCTTTAGATCCTCAAATGGCTCTAGCGCTTTCGTGACCACGGGCTGAGAGTCTTTTGCTAGATTTTGGCATTTGGCAACTGACATACGGTTTAATGTGAAGACAACAACTGGTGCCACGGGAATTTTATTCTCTTCGGCGACCGGAGCCTTTCTCGCTTACGTGTTTTTTTTCTCGCTTCGGATATACATTTTTACGCGCGCGTGTCTGTTCACGTCCACTCTCCCGCTTTCTTCGATCCTCGGCCCTCTGAGGTGAGCGCCGAGAATCCTCCAGGTACACAAGAGCAGCAGCAGCAGAGGTTAGTATCGTATGATGCTAGCCTGCCTCTAGACGACGTACCGAATGCATATGTAGTGGCTAATATTTTTGTGCAGGTCAGGATTTTCCGTGCCCGCTCTATTTACTTGTGAAAAACATGTTGAAGTCGGTACCTACCGCCGTTGCGCACCTAACGCTTCCCAGCACGACGCCTGTCGAACGTACCATACATATCGGAGGGAGGCAGAGTGCCCGATACCTGTCGGTTGTGATATGCATACCGACAGCCGTTGCCCAGCGCGCTTTTCTTCTTCAGCGTGGGAGTAGGCGCGTTAGTCTCGTCTACCTCCATTGTGGCCAGAGGAGAGGAACAAAAATTATCTCGCGTACCGTGAACGCCGTCCCTCGCACAGCCCGTGCCCACACACGCCACTAGCATTATCATGACCCTCAGGGCAAAGGGGGATCCTCGCAATATAGGGTGCAAGGTGCAAGGATCTCTCCGATGTGTGGTGGATGGGTGTGAAATCCTCCCGATGAACCAGGAACGGTTCCTCGGAACATTGGGTTGCGACCCTACTGCTGCAGCAGCCCTCAGCCCTCTCTGCCGCTGTTCCTACACAGCAGGGAGGCTATATACCGTCAGAGATGCTGGAAACAAGTTGGCTCGGTGTTGTGTTGTTGTTGTTGCTGCTGCTGCTGTTGTGGCTACATGGCTGAGTTAGTCTGAATATCTGACTGACGCTTTTGTTGAATTGGTTCTTCGTTGACAAACGCTCAACCCAAGGTGCACGCGCAGAAAGGTCACGTAGGCTAAGAAGGATGGGAGGCGGATGAGGAGACGACCTCGCATGTTTGCGATCTTTCTGCAGTCAGACCCTTCTTCACAGCGATCGTAACTGCCGTGGTAGTCTTTAACCGCTGTAGCTGTGGAAGTCTATTGCAGCAGCGGTACGGCCAAGGTTCTGGCAGCAACATATGGTTTCCCGCCGCCAGAACTTTTGCTTGGCTTGTAGACTATGTGTGTTCATCACCAAGTGGAGATTTTCAATAAGGGGACATGAACGTCCCAGAAACTTGAAAGTTGGCGTGTGCTTACCACATGGAGATGACTAATAATGATATAAGTGAAAAGACTCCACCACATCCCGTTCGACTGTGGGCATATCTCGAACGGTTAGTGTTTCTGTGTGTGTACAGTATTTACTTTTCCTATAAGTAAGAGGGGGACACGGACGGTGGAGAGAGATAAAAGAAGCTAACAGAGCACTCGAGAGACCGTCCGCGTTCATCCATAGTAGTAGTAGCTACAGTGGGTGGCCCGATATAGTGCCGGTTGAATAGTGCCGGTTGCCGGTATAGTGCCGGTGTTTTCGGCTCGCACACACCGGAATATCAAGTCTTTCTGTACTCTGAATAGTGCCGGTGCCCGGTATAGTGCCGCTTTGCTCTCTGAACACATACCGGCACTATAGAGGGCCCCCTACTGTAGTATGAACCCTATCTGCGGAAGTGAAGAAGAAGCCGAACGTATGTGACGTCCGAGAACACTCCCGAAACGCGCCACATAAATTACTACGGGGCCTTGAGGGGAACCACGATCGGTGTTTGGTGTTTGGGTGGCGCAATTCGCCTGACGATTTTTTTTGTCATGCCTGCCGCCGCGTTGGACCATTCTCACAATCACACGTCTTCGGGTAACATGCAGTCGTGACCGGGCAAGGACGTAGTGCCACGGACCATGTTGAGGTCCCGTTACCTGGCGAGCGGGAGACGCCACCACCCCCCAATGGGGGGGGGGCAACGACCTCCTCGTGAATTGTTGCAGGGTTTACTATATCAGTGGTTTTCGGTCCCTATCCTCTGCCCCTGCACGTGCTAGATACCAGACTGACAGTGGAAATCCTCATCGGTCAACGGAGCAAGTATTATTGCGCCCTCTGGTGCCAAACACGCATGCATTGCCTACTAAGACGCACAATATAGGAAATGTACGCGTGCTTACACCCGTGGCACTCCCCCCCCCGCGTTCGCGGGCGTGACTTATTTTCGACTCGTTCGTTTGCTGCTCCTCAGCGTGACCGAGACTTTGCACCTTGAGCATTCTTTCGTGCACTCGCGTCTCCTGGTGACCAATCAATGCTATTCTTAGCACCCTTGTCGTTTTTTACACACCATGACGACTGGACGCGCGTAGGAGCTAAACAGAAAGAAAGAAAGGCAGTCCAGCACATCTTGGTGTGTTTCCGTGCGTCCGCTGCGGAGGAGATCTCGGCACCTAGGTGTGGCGTCGAGTGTGCTCGTGCTAGGGACGGTATGGGCGAGACTTAGCAACGAATGGATGTGGCCGGCCCATGTTCTGTTGTTGTTGGCCTCACATTAAAAACCCGTTTCGATCTCCACTCGGTACCTTCTAGTGTCCGAACTGGTCCAACTGACGCGGACGACTTCCGTGGTCACAAGCCAACTACTTCCCAACGAGGGGTGCACTTTCTAGAACGAAAACCCCCAGTATGTAGCGGGTTTTAGGATGGCCTTTCCACCGGTATTCGGCAAGGAAGGGTTGACTCGGGCAAAAAGTGTTAGTAATCGTGGATGGGTTTCTTGAGAAGCTTGTCGGAGGCAGAATTCAAGCATCCGCCTGAAGGATGGGGGGTCGCGTCCGTCTTGATTTGATTCTTGCAGGCATTTCAAGACGGCTCTGCTGCTTCCCAGGAGCATCTTTGCACTACTTCGCTGTCGTGAGGGCTGGCTATCAATTAATGTCGTCAACGGTGGGCTACGAGGAAGAGTCGGAGCCGATTATCGAACAGAGAGCCGAGGAACCGGTGGCGGGTTCGTCCATGGAGAGGGCGGAGGGGGGTGAACATGCCGTCCATCGAAGTTGGAGTAGGAGGAGCATCACGGAGGCTTATTGCGTACGACGGCGGTGGCGGTGAGAGAACGAGGGCCTCTTCGATCAATTCTTGAAACCTTCGTCGTAAGACGCATACACACCTGTTTAATGATGATAATCCTTGAGACGTGGGCGTCGTCCGCAGTTTCCGCAGCTTGTTCCTACTTTGCTGTGTTGGGTGTTGCCCCCGTACCTAGTGTGCCGATCCGCGGTCGGACGGAAAACCTCCGGAGTAGGTCACTTCTTGTTAGACCCCGCCCCCCCCCCCCCCCCCCCCCCCCCCCCCCCCCCCCCCCCCCCCCCCCCCCCCCCCCCCCCCCCCCCNCCCCCCCCCGCCATTCGTTGTCACCTAATAGCGTCTTGAAGGCCTTGGTAGCGACACTGGCGGCCGCCGTTGCCGCCGTGTGGGTGCCTTCCCTTTGGACGCGCCAGAGCGCGGTCGAGCTCACCACCGTCCGGCTTGGCTGGGAGGGGGGGCGAGGGGAGTGGATGAGGGGGCAGAGGGAGCTTCAGGAGCGCCGCGACGCGAGGTTCCTGCCCCCCGAGTGGAGCTCCGCAGACTGCATGAAGCGCTGGGGGGTGCCGTGGTTGCTAACCGAGCCGGATCCGGCAGGTGTCTAGTGGGACTGCGCGTTGTTGAGGACGGGGACACGCGGCTGGAAAGTAGAGGGGGGCTCCTCGTCCCGTACGCGAGACACCACTTAGGGCCTGGAATAGAACCCGGAGAGGCTAAGTAATTCTTTCGCTGCGGGCTTGTTTGTCCCGGGTGCCATTTCACTCAGTCAAAGGGTTGCGAGCCGAAGGGTGTAATTGATGGGCAAGCCTTTGTTTACATGGCACGATCGACCGTGTGAATTAGGCTGTGCGTTTTCTGGGCTGCCGTCGCACGTGCGGTATACCCTTTTGCGCATCATCCCTCGGTAGACAAGAGGAGGGAGGGATCCCCCCCCCCCCCCCCCCC